TAATGAAGGCTCTGCACTCGTTACCTAGTTGCCCCCAAAATGCCTCACCTGCAAATACTATTGTTTTTGGGGCTAGGATTTCAACATATGATTTTACAGAGACAAACATTCAGACCATAGCAAATAGTATACCATGAATGCTGTTCTGTACTTTTTGGTTTTTGTTTCACTTAACCATATACCTTAAAGCTCTTTCTGGAACAGACCATTTTACAGAATATGGATGTGTCATAAGTTATTTAGTTGGTTTGCTATTGATGGATATCTAGGTTATTTAGTTACTTGCGATCCTGTGCAATTATGAACAGAACACCAATGAATAACTTGGGGCATTTGTGTTTTCACTTATAATTGGACTAATATGTATTATGTGATTGATATTAATATATGATATGATTGATAACTAAACACATATATTGGAGTGCATTGCTCAAAAGATTTTTGCTGTTGGTAGAGCAGTCTTCATACATTTTTGTGTGTGTCTACCATATCATTAAACTTTGGGGGCTATATATCCCAGTATATACATTATAGGTATGTTAACTTATAAATTATATAAACGGGGCCGGGCTTGGTGACTCAGCCTGTAATCTCAGCTCTTTGGGGCTGAGATGAGCGAACTGCTTGAGCCTGCAGGTTCGAGACCAGCTTGGGCAACTTGGTGAGACCTTGTCTCTATAATAAATAAAAAATTAGCCGGACATGTTAGTGCGCACCTGTAATCTGGCTACTTGGAAGACTGACGTACAAGGATCACTAGCAGGTTGATGCTGGGGTGGCTGTGAGCATGCCACTGCACTCCAGCCTAGGTGACGGAGTGAGACTCCAACTCAAAAAAATAAATAAATTATATAAATGCAAAATTATAGTAATATAGTGCATGTAATATAGAAATAACATAAAGAGTTATAAAGCGAATAGATAGTAAATAATATTATTTTATTTTAGCTAGTAATAGCAAAAGTTCTTTGTTTTCTTTCAAATACCTTTTTTTTTTTTTTGAGTTGGAATCTCACTCTGTCACCCAGGCTGGAGTGCAGTGGTATGCTCCTGGCCACCGCAGCCTCGACCTGCTGGGCTCAGGCAATTCTTCCACCTCAGCCTTCCGAGTAGCTGGAACTACAGGCACTTGCCACCACGCCTGCCTAATTTTTCTTGATTTTTTGTAGCGATGAAGTCTCGCCAAGTTGCCCAGGCTGGTCTCGAACCCCTGGGCTCAGCCAATCCTCTCTTCATAGCCTCCTAAAGTACTGGGATTATAGGCATGAGCCACTGTGTCCAGCCTCAAATACCACTTTTTAAAAGGAGTTGTAAGCTCTTGGCAGTTGCTGTGGCTGTAGTGGCTTGGCCTGGGGACACTCGTGAATTGCTGTCACAGCCTCCTCCTCTTGCCGGCCATATTGATTCTAATGATGGAATTCTTTGTACACATCTGGATGCAGAGGGTCATGAAGTGAATCCCTGCACTAGTGGCCTTTCTGTGCCTGGCACATTAGATGTTATTTGTAAAGAAATGGATCAGATGACCGGAGAACCACAGTGTGAATCTGCCTGAAGGAGGCTTCAGGAGATTGAGGACAGGATGATTAATGAAGTGAAGAGGTTGAAGCTGATGGAAGTGTTATCCGTCTCCCTAGTCTTGTCTTTCCTGATACCAGGAAAACAGATTTGAAGAGTGAATTTGATGAAGTGTTTACAAAGAAATTGGTTAAATCATAAATCATCCTCCCATGGAGCTTGAGTTCTGGAAGACTCTCCCTGAACTTTCTCAGAAGACACAGTCATCATCTAATACTGAGAACCACACAAGAGAAAGGCAAACTAAGCATGCAGCTGTGGGCACTGCCTTCCCTCAGAGAACTGAACTTTTCTTGGAAACCCTGAAAACAGAGATGTCTCTTTACAATAGTTTGGAATGCTAGAAACTGGTTTTTACACTAAAGTCGAATTTTAGGAGACACTTGTGTTCAGTTATGAGCTATTTGCATAGTATAGGGACTTGAAAGTTTTACGAAACAAGTATAATATCTCCTCCTGTGATTCAGGGTGGCCCTCTCATTTGGGGTAGCTGTTTATTGAATTCAGCGTTTTCCAAGGAAGCTTTTTCAAGGGAGGAGTAGCTTTCCCTGGGACTAGAGGAATGTTGGATTACAGTCTCTTCAAAGACAAGTCTAGAAGCTGCATGTGTATGGGTGATTTAAGTTAGCTGACATTTTATCTAAGTTTTCTGACATTTGGGGAATATTCTCCTTGAGTTGAAAAACATGATTAAGACGGATGCTTCTACTACAATTGTTATGTCACAGCTTAGACTATAGGTATCAACTGTTTGTTTTTGTTTTCCTTGAGTTGGAGTCTCAACTGTGACCCAAGCTATAGTGCAGTGGCATGCTCATGACCACCACAGCCTCGACCTGCTGGCTCAGGCAATTCTTCCCCCTCAGCCTTCCAAGTAGCTGGCACTATAGGCACACATCACCATGCCCGGCTAATTTTTTGATTTATTGTAGAGATGAGGTCTCGCCAAGTTGCCCAGGCTGGTCTTGAACCCATGGGCTCAGGCAATCCTCTCACCTCGGCCTCCTTAAGTGCTGGGATTATAGGCCACTCCTGGCTATATCAGCTGTTTAAAGTGGTGACCATGTATGATTGGGGAGAAGGAGGGAAGAAAACAGTAGCTTAAGCCTATTACTAAGAAATTTAACAGAGACCCTGAAACTTGTAAATTAGTTGTCAATTCCATATAGCTGTTTTGATTAAATAGCCAGTGACATGGTGGCTTTCCTCTTTGCCTCTGAAAGTGCAACGAAAATACAGAGAAAACGTTTTTCTTCAAGACTTTTTGCCTTGTGCCACTTTTGCTCCTTGGTTTCTCTTGTATAATTGATAAGCCTAGTTATTCAGTAATGTTTACAACTTAATTAACTCTCATGGGTGTCTTTGAGGAGTACAAGACTTCAGTGGTGGAAGTAAGCACAGATGTGGTAGAAATAGTGAGAACTCAAATTAGGAATTAAACGTGAAGATGTGACCGAATTGCCGCAATCTCATGATAAAACTTGAACAGGAGTTGCTTCTTATGAAAGTAGTTTCTAGCCGGGCTCGTTGGCTCAGCCTGTAATCCTGCGCCTTGGGAGGCTGAGGTGAGTGGATTGCCTGAGCCCGTGGGTTCGAGACCCGCCTGGGCAACTTGGCGAGACCTCATCTCTACAATAAATCAAAAATTAGCCGGGCGTGGTGGCGCGTG